GGCATTTTCGCCTCCTGGCTGGGGAAAAATTCAGAAAATAACTAACATGTCAGGTGTCTGGTATTCTCTGAATTTTTTTACCGGACAGGAGCCGAAAATACCGGACTGTCCGGGTGAATACCAGATACCAGGCAACCCTAAAAAATGGTGGAGAAGGAGCTGCAGCCTCCCCCGTGGGGATGGGAGGCTCGGGGTGGGGACAGGGATGCACCCGGCCAGCCCCTTTCCCCTGCCAGGTGAGTCTGTCTCTTTTCTGCCTGTTTCCATGTCTCCGTATGCGTCCCCCACCCAGCCCCACGCAACCAAACCCTGGCCTTGCTGTAAGTCCCGAGAAGAGGAAACGGCAGGCCGAGCTCTGACCGTTTAGGGGGAGTTTTTGGCCGAATCGGACAGACGGACAGACAGACTCGCCCGCTTGCTCACACAGATACAAGCGCTCCGATCTAGAGCAGAAAGCAGCCAACCATCCCCATGTATTACTGATTGCCTTGCTAACCACCTTACACAGAACACTGAATACAGGGCAACTTCCTGTTTGCAAGCTGCGCCTTTGGACTAGGAGTAGTGCCCAGAGGCATCGTGCGCGGTCTGTAAAGCCACGCCAAGGCAGAGCAGACAGTTTCTCCTGCTTCCTTTTTTTGTGTCCATTGTGATTTTAAAAAAAACAACAGCCATATACATTGGGTGTGGGTTGATCTAATGCACACTCTTTTGGGGGGGTAATATTTTGGTAGCGCATAACGGGCCCGGTTTGCAATCAGGGCCCCGCTGGGATAGGCATTGTACACCTATGTAATGAGAAGACAGTCCGTGCCCAAGAGAGGTTGCAATCTAAGTATCTGACCTCATCCAACTAAACTCCCCCTGGTGCTTCATCTTGTTCAGTTGTCAAGGACAACACGTCAAAATGATGTGCAACGAACCTGGTACAAAATTCCCTCTCTCCCTGCATCCCCCACTACCGGAGCGTTTGATCACACGGTTGCTCTATTAAAAAATAAAATCTCTGTCGGTGTTGGGAGCAGGAGGCTCCCTTAGGAAAGGCCCTCGCTTTCAGGAAATTGGTTCCTTCAATCCAAGCTGCCCCGAGTCTCCAGGCAGAAAGTTTAATGAATGAATAATGCCTCCAAGGAGACAGGCGGCGAGCGGCACAGAGATCAGCGACAGTCATTCACAGAAGTGAGAGTTTTACGCGCGGCCTCTGCCACACCCGCCTTCCTAGAACACGCTGTCCACTCCCAGTGGCAAAGGGCATGTTTAAAGGTTCTGCCCAGGATTCCACGAAGTCACACGCTGGGAAGCCAACAAGAATGTGGCAACACTATGAGTCCGCGCCCTGGGGGAATCCTCATTCACACTTTTTATAGCATCTCTGTCTAATTATGGCTTCCCACGTCCCAGAAGGCTGCTCCCAGCCCGTCACACACCGGGTACAGCTGCTTACGGGGCTGAGAGCAACATTAACCATTTCTGCAAACCTCACTCTGCCTCACGGATCACCGTAAGGTGTGACTGGCTTCGCAGCCTGCAATTTTGAGTTGCCCAACGTGAACCACCCAGCGGAGCTCTTTAAGGTGTTTCCAGTCGGGCAACCAAAATAATCACCTGCCCAGATTGGAAATGTGGCGTTGTTACGTTGAGAGCTGGGGGTTTCACCTGGGTCCCATGCCACCAGCTAAGAACAGAAAGGGGGAAATAAATTGGGGTGAAACAGGAATAGAATGGGTTTAGCCACAGCTCACACTGACCTTGTAGGAAAAACCATGTGGGGAATTTTTTTTATTGTTTGCCAAGAGCAGAAGTGTGTCTAGGATTCTGACCTGTCCCTCAGCACCAATTTTTGAGCACTGCACCATATTTAACATATTTTGCCTCGGGGCACTGCTATTCTCCCCATTTTACAAATGGGCCATTGAGGCAAAGAGAGGCTAAATGACTTACCCAAGGTCACACATAAAGTCTGTGGCAGAGCAAAAAAAAATTTTGAAGACGGTGCTATCAAGGCTTAGGCTAGGGGCAAAGCCATTGTCTTGCCCTTAGTCTTCAGAAGTGGCTAACCTGAAATTGAAGACGGTGCTATCAAGGCCTAGGCTAGGGGCAAAGCCACTGTCTTGCCCTTAGTCTTCAGAAGTGGCTAACCTGGAGGTGCTATAGCCCAACATGACACAGCAATCTCATGACAAAGGCAGCTCTGGTGAGATTCACAGCCAGCTTTTTGGATGCTCAGGAGAACCAGACAGCTGCTAAGAAGAAGTTGAACATCTAGATGCTTCTCCTGCCTTCCACCTCTGTGTAGCTCTCGCCTGTCACAGCTTCGGTATGACGTGACTGGGGGAGAGAGGGAGCCAATCCGGGGAATAAATAAATGGATCGTACCAACAAAATCAGCCACGTGCTGCTTGCGCTCCCGGGCTACGAACAGGAGGGATGGTGCGGGATCAGCGTGTCCAAACCTGCCAGGACATGATGGCATTTTCTGGGAACTTGCAACACTCTCTCCAAGGCCGGGCATGCCGTGCCGCTAAAGCTGAGTGATACATCCGCATGCCCTGCTGGGTTTTAGTAAACCAGGAACCCGCTCGGAAGTGGATGTGGGGAAGAGTTTCTCCAGGCTCAGAGACACGGCCACACAGACTCACACTCATACACCCCTTCGCATGATGGCCAGCCTGAGGGCCAGGAAGGAATTCTTCTCCTGGGACAGGGCAGTAGGGACTGGGGGGGAAACAGGCCTTCTCTACAGGCCACCATCTGGAAACCTGAGTCCCTCCTGTGGCACAGAAGTCTCCGGAGGGCTGTGATACTTTGGTCTAACTCAGTGTTTCCCAATTTGATTTGGCCAGGGACCCTTTTAAACTTGAAAGAATTTTGTGGCACCCTTAATAACAGTCTTATATATGGAGCTGACCACAAATAAGTAAGGATAATAATAAACAAATGCTAAACAAGGTCATGAGATCAACATTCAGTTTAATTGCACATATTTACAGTGATAAATAACAGGCGATCACACCATTGACTGACTGTGCACGCAGTGCAAACACAAATACAAATAGTTTTCAATATAATTCATAAATGCTTAAATATTAATTATTATTTTTTAAAATCATAAAATGTTACAGTAATGGAATTTTCTCGCGGAACCCTTCTTTTCACTTCACTTTCACTCCACGGATCACCATTTGGGAAACTAATCTAACATTGCTGGGCATGGCAGGCAGGTGCTGGGTGGTGTTTAGTAACCTGCCAGGTCAGGCCAGATGATCTGGGGGTCCCTTCTGGCCTGAAACTGTGTGACATGCTCACCCACAGGAACACCGGGGCAAATGTGTTGATCATGCAACGTGGACAGACCTGTGGGGCTCAGTCCTGCGCCCCGTTCTGGGGGCTTACAGAGGCTACAAAGGCCTGGTCTGAGGAGAATACCCAGTCGTAAGCAGACCTTCATTTCTACACCCGCAGGGAGGGAGGTGGGGAGAAGGAAGTTGAGATCAGACGGTGGCGTCTGGCGCATGTGAGCAGGTAGAAAGCAGCACGCTAGCTTTAAAAAACTCGGGAGCAATTGAGATTGGAAGGGAAAATAAGAAAACGCCAGAAGCGTGGGGGTTTGAAAAATCACTATTCTAGGATTCTAGTTGGATTTAAAAAAAAACCCACAACTCCGCTGCCTCTCCCGGGGAGACGTCCACTCCACCAGCTTTAATAAAAGGGTCCCCGGCAGAAGACCAAACTGATTCTTCACACGTGTGATGACCCAGGACGATCCGAAATCTCAATTTGATCTACTCTAGGAAAAATTACGGGGGTTTTCCCCCGGTCACTAAATACATTCTGAAATGTCCTGTGCAGCCTCCTTTCCTTTGGCACATACATCACCACGCTGATGGAAAAATTCCTCCTGCCCCCTTAGGCTCCTGGATCCGATTGTGTGGCACTCCCCTCCCATTGGTAAGGGATTTCTGGGTGTGCAGCCGGCCAAGGATCCAGAGTCGATGAATAGAGTCGTTATTACGGCGTATCGGCCCTGCAGATCGGCCCAGAACGACTGGGCCGCTGGCGTAACACGAACATCCTATGGAAGCATCTAGCATCCCCAGCTCCCCAGCCACTTGCTCTAGGATGGCACAGGCTGGGCTTGCCCTGGGCTGCCTGCTCAGGGGTTGGGAGAATGGAGTCATCACATCGCTTCAATCTGGCCCTTCCAGCCAACCGAGCACTGCCCGGGATGGACACGAGAGCCCTCGGCCCGTCCATTCCTCCTTGGCTGGGCACACGGCGGCCCTGCCTTAACGGGCGGGAAGAGAGAGACGTTTCATTGCAGCACCAGATGAGCGCTCTGAGCATCGGCCGCTCCTCCGTGGGACGCTCATGGGAGCGAACAAGGGCAGGGCCGTGCGCCCTTCCTCCTCCCCACCAGCGAAACCAAGTGCCCCCAGCTCATCCGCTCGCCCCAAGGGGCCCGGATCTGGGTGCTCAGCGGGG